TATCTACCCAAACTTATGTGGATGACATTATAACAGGCACCAATACAGTAGACAAAGTACTAATGTTACAGCAAAAAACAATTCAATTGTTAGCTCATGGTGGATTTGTGCTCAAGAAGTGGGCAAGCAACTGTCCTGAAGTATTGAAAAATATTCCTATGGAGGACCGGACTACAGTAATATCCTTCGACCAAAAGGATGAATGCACCGTGAAAATACTCGGGATCCACTGGGATCCACGTTCCAATACCTTCACGTATCACAGTGGATCGTTTAAGGCAACACCCACCAAACGTTTTGTACTATCAGCTATTGCACAAATGTATGACCCACCTGGATTGCTAGCCCCTATCATATTTTGGGCGAAATGCTTCATGCAGACCTTATGGAAAAGCGGATATACTTGGGATCAGCCCATATCAAATGAACTATCGTCATCATGGAAAACATTTTCGTCAGAGTTACCTAGTGTGGCTTCACTCAAAATACCCAGGTACATCCCAACCGATCAGTCCTGTCATGTTCAGTTACTAAGTTTTTCCGATGCGTCAAAGAAGGGATTTGCAGCGGTTGTCTATATCCGGTTAGAGTATCCTTCAAAATTATCAACGGTACATTTACTCACTGCAAAATCAAAGGTGGCACCCTTGAAATCAGGAAATATGGACGAGTCGTTGTCTATTCCACGATTGGAACTTTGTGGGGCCCTGTTACTTGCCCAAACGCTACATCGTGTTCAACATACCCTTGCCAAAATGGTACATATCTCCTCTATGCACTCATGGACAGATTCCACTGTTGTGCTCGTGTGGATAACCACTCACCAAGTACAATTTAAGGTATTCATTACAAACAGGTTGAATAAGATCTGATACCATCATGCACATGGCGTCACGTTTCCACGCTGAACAACCCAGCAGACTGTGTTTCACGCGGAATGCATGCCAACGAAGCACTGTCACATACTCTGTACTGGACCGGCCCCGAGTTCCTGCGTCAACCGGGAAGTGGCAGGTCGTCCACTGGTTTTAACGTCATGCCACTCGACAGACTCCCAGATCCCTAGAGAGTCAAGTAATCTTGTCACCGTTCCGACCCTCAGTACTGAGTGGTTACAGCGTTTTTCTTCATTCACTCGGGTCACTTGAATTGTCGCCCACATGTATCGGTTTATATGTCATATTCGAAATCAATTTTCATATTCGGGTTTTATTCGTTGGTCAGAGCTAGAGCATACTCTCAAGATAATCGTGAAAGTCACTCAATCACATGAATTTCGAGACTTAATCAAAACCTTGTCATGCAACAGAAATGGTACAATTCCACTGTCCGTTGCGCGACTTACGCCATTCCTAGATACTGAAGGAATTGTCCGTGTAGATGGACGCATACGAAATTCAATGTCCAAGGAGGATTTCAAATTTCCAATATTACTGCCGAAGTCCTGCGTACTCACTACATTACTTGTGCGTCATTATCACACTAAACATTTGCATGCAGGACCTCAATTGGTCTCATCCTTGCTATCCGTTCGTTTCTGGATATTGTCAAGTCGGTCCATCATTCACTCGGTCATATTCAAATGCGTGGTTTGTGCAAGACAACGAGCCACTCGGCCTACACCTGTAATGGGAGACTTGCTAAATGTTCGAGTTTGTCCTTCGAGGCCTTTCAACAACGTCGGTATTGATTACGCAGGCCCATTATGGATTAAGGAAGGGAGACGCCTCAACACTCGCTCAGTGAAGTGTTATCTGGCGATCTTTGTCTGTATGGCAATCAAGGAAGTACATATAGAGGTCGCTTCTGACTTATCCACACCTGCGTCCATAGCTGCACTACATCGTTTCATTTCACTACGGGGTATTCCAGCTCATATCTATTCCGATTGTGGAACGAACTTCCAAGGCGCCGGTGCAGTATTACGCACTCAATTGCGAGATCCAGTTGTACGGGAACTCTGTTCCACCCAGATTCCATACCAATGGCATTTCAATCCTCCTGCAGCCCCTCATTTTGGGGGACTGTGGGAAGCAGCTGTGAAGTCAACAAAATATCATCTTAAACGAGTCTTTGGTACTCAGCTGTTGACATTTGAGGAAATGTCCACCTTAGCTCACAGAATTGAAGCTCTGCTCAACTCAAGGCCACTTGTACCACAATCATCTGACCCAAGTGACCTACGAGTGCTAACTCCTGGAGACTTTTTGATCGGTTGTCCGTTAGTCGCGTTACCAGAGCCAGATCTAACTTCCACGCCGATAAACCGGTTATCTCGATGGCAGTTACTGACCCAGTTTCAACAATCGTTTTGGAAACGGTGGTCATCAGAATACTTGACTACGCTTCAGGGCCGATCAAAATGGTATCGTAAGCAGGTGAACATCGCAGTCAGAGACCTCGTGATAGTGCATCATCCAAAAACATCTCCAACACATTGGAAATTAGGGAGGGTCGAGTTGACCCATCCGGGCGAGGATGGAGTGGTGAGAGTTGTTAGCGTTCGAACAAGTGACGGGAGTTACAAACGGCCCGTCGTGAAGTTATCAGTTCTGCCTGTCAAGGATGAACAGGACTCCTGATTTGTTCTCCTACACCAACAACTATCATTTCCTTGTTCCACAAGATTTCTTGTTCCTTGATTGTACACTTATGTAGAGATATTTCTCAATTAGTTTTTAAGTTAGCACATAAGTTATCAACCCCATCAACTCAAGCATACTGTTTGTCTTTGGAAGCCTACGTCTTCCAAGGGGGGAGTATGTTGCCGCCACACGCAACATGTGACAACGACGGCGTGCGGAAATTGCACCGGCCGGCACGCCGCCGGTGAGCGACCGTTACACCTAACGACAACCAGTCGCCAGCGTATCACGCGGCTGGTCGGATATCTTATCACAATATCGCTGATACGTGAGTTGGGTGTGTTGTTGTTCTGTTCGAACGGAGGTTCAGCTGAGTGTATTCTGTGGTTTTTTTTGGTTGTTCGCTGAACAGTATTCGCCATCTTCCTATCTGTAAGTTATGTTCCTCCGTTGAGCATCCCGTCTACCGTTGTGCCGTACTATTCGCCGACGTGTAGACCGTACATGCTGATTCTGCTGCGTGTGTACTATTCGCGTGCCGTGCTGTCCGTCTACCGTCGTGCCGTATTATTCGCCGACGTGTAGAACATATACTTTCAACATTCACCAGCGTTTTGCCACACCGTCCACGGTCCAGATCGTAAGGTTGTACCACACCACTGGATTTGCGTCGCCGAAGTCACCACGTCGCGGACATGTAATGTTGACTCTTTTAACTTTATAATTTACTCTTAATATACAACTAAATTGTTAGACTTTAAGTACGTAGGTTAAGTGCTCCCCCCGTCCACAAGTATGTATTACTACAGTAAAATAATATAAGCATGTATATAGCCTACGGTTGACATTGTCAATTACCTAATCTCGTCCAAATAATTCCATTACCCACCGCGCTGCACTACCACCTCAATCCATAGCGAGGTTAGTGTACGTAACAGTGCATGTTAGTACAAACTACAATTCAAGAAGTTTAATGTTGAAGCTATAACTGACCAGATTGAAAAAGGTTTATATCACTTAACAATTATTAATAATATAATATTTTTGCAATTATAACTTTGCTTATTTAGTGAATATCTTAAAATATAGATAGAACTGAACTATTGGATAAAATAATATTCAAGTAAAAACTATTTTTCTAATACTTATTAATATATTTATTATCAAGACTAATACGTACTTTTGGATATAGATCAATTACAATTTCTGGAAAACCAAAATTTTGTAGAATTTCGCCAATCCAGGGCAAATTTGAATGTAAGTATATTCTTAATTATTTTAAACTAAATTATCTAAAACAAAATATATATGAATTAAACAAAGTTCAATATTTTGTATTTTAATAGATTCGAAATGGTGTTCCTACCCGAGCAAGAACAAACAATACAAATGCAATTAGGGACTTTTTGCAGGAACTATCAGAAGATGAAGAACCTAATCGCATACTCACATTCTTAACACAAGCAGGTCATAGGGTTGATGGGCACATTTCTCAAGAAATCGGTCATCACCCTGGTAAGGATCATTTTTTTGAACACCGCTATAAATTAATTCTAATTAAAATGTGTACAAATATGTGCACATTTTGTAGACGAAGACAGGAAAGTTGCCGTATTAATTACAGTGATAGGAGCTTCCACTTACGCAATCTTAAGGGAAATATGTAATCCCGTTTTACCCAATACAGTTATGTATGATAAACTTTGCGATATTTTAAGTTAGTAATTTGCGTCCAAAGTTGCTGTGTTCCGAGAACGTTCGATATTTTACCAATTAATGCAAGAGCAGAATGAATCTGTAAACGATTGGTATGTACGCATGAAAAAAGTGGCAATGAAATGCAAGTTTGGTAACAATCTTGTCGATGTCTTAAGGGACAAATTTGTTACTGGCTTGATCAAAGGACCGATTGCAGACCGTTTGTGTGAAGAGGAACCAAGCAAACTTCTAGTTGAACTAGTGGACATCGATTTAAAAAAAGAAGCAGTGGTTGTCTAACCACAGACACATACTACCATAAATCATGTTGATCGTATAAACAAAAATAAATTTGGTAAACAAAGCAGCAGCCACAATTCATCGCCAAAGTCGAAGAGAGACACGTAAAAAGAAGAGAAAGAAGCAAAAAATAGACCAGCCAAACACGGAAAAGTTGCATGCTTTCACTGCGGAAAAAACAATCACAACTTTGCAGATTGCAGGTACCGTAGCTATAAGTGTAAAAACTGTAATAAGATAGGGCATCTAGCTGTAATTTGCAAATCTAACACAAATGACAATAATGTTGAAGTAGAGCAACCTTTTAAAGAGTTTAATGAGTTTAACCTATTCAATATTAAGAATGGTCAGGTTAGTAATGATGCAATTTTTCCACCAGAGCTGATTAGTGTAAAAGTCAATGACAATCTTATCCAAATGGAAATAGATTCAGGTGCAGCTGCTTCAGTAATTACTGAACAGTTTTTCAATGGCAAATTATCAAATTGTGCATTAAAGAGTTCATACAAAAAATTTAATTTCTTTGATGGTACATCTATACAACCTGTAGGTCAGTTCACAGCTAAAGTTGAATTCAATAACAAAATTGTTGACTGTGAGTTCATAGTTGTCAAAAGTACAGGAAATCCTTACCCTCTGTGTGGTAGGAATTTGCTTAGTAAATTAGGCATATCATGGGTTCAACTTAACAACATTCAAGATAGTAAAAAATCGAGAAGTTTAAATGAATTGTTAGTAGAGTACAAGGACCTTTTTAGTGGTAAATTGGGTGAATATGCACACATGGAGGTACACTTGGAATTAAATTCAGATATACAACCTATTTTACACAAACATCGATGCATTCCCTTTGCACACAAACTTGCTGTTGAAAAAGAACTTCAGAGGTTGGAGGAAAGTGGAGTAATAAAAAAAAGAGAATTGTGTCAATGGGGCACACCACTAGTACCTGTATTAAAACCTGACTGTAGTATAAGATTATGCTCAGATTACAAAGCAACAATAAACCGTTATATAAAAGATATCCACTGGTCTAAAATCTGTGATAAAGCATTTAATAAAATAAAAACCATTTTGATGTCAGAACAAGTATTGACTCATTATAATCCAGACCTACCAATAGTGTTAACACGTGATGCTTCAAATAATGGGTTAGGTGCAGTTCTATCTCATGTGTTAAGTGATAATTCAGAAAAACCAATACATTTTGCATCCAGGGCACTGTCATCAGCAGAAAAAAAATATTCAACAACTCATAAAGATGCATTGGCAGTAGTGTGGGGTGTAACGAAGAATTATCAATATTTAAAGGGAAGAGAGTTCACAATCAAGTCGGATCACAAACCTTTAATGACTTTATTAGATGAAGACAAAGTAATACCCAAAATGGCTTCAGGCCGTGTCCAACGATGGGAATTTTTTCTGTCTGGGTTTAAATATAAAATTGAATTTATTAAAGGAACCAATAATAAAGCCACTGAAAATCTATCGCGCATTTCCATCTCAAATAATGATTTCATTACAAAAGATGATTTAGTAGATCAAGCATTAGATGTTATAAGCTTTGTAGATCATTTTGTGCCAGTAGACTATTTGCAGATCAGTTCAGAAACTAGCAAAGATCCTACAGTAAAAAAGTCATAAATTATATGAACACTCAATGGCCAAAAGAAGTAACTGAAGATGTCAAACCCTTTTACAACCGTAGAGATGAGTTAGTTTTTGAAAGTAAAATATTAATGTAGGGATATCGTATAATTATTCCCAGCAGTCTCACCAGTGTTTTGTTAAAGGAACTTCATGGTTCTCACTTGGGAATCGTCGAAATGAAGTCACTAGCCAGATCTTATTTTTGGTGGCCTTCTCTAGACTTTGACATTGAAACACTAGCAAAGAACTGTGCAGTTTGTATTACTTTTTGACCAGAACCAGCTAAGACTGTGCTGACAAAGTGGCCACAGTCAACACGAGTATTTGAAAGAATACATGCCGACTACGAAGGTCCTATAAATAATAAAATGTATTTAATAGTAACTGATTCATTTAGAAAATGGCCAGAAATATTTGAAGTAAGTAAAGCTGATACTCATAATACTATTGAAAAATTAAAAGAAACATTTTCAAGATATGGACTTCCAGAAACTATTGTGACAGATAATGGTACACCATTTACATCTGGAGAGTTTAGTGAGTTTTGTGAATTAAATGGTATCAAACAACTTACCTCACCTCCTTGGCACCCATCCAGCAATGGAGCTGCTGAAAATGCTGTCAAGTCTTTTAAAATAGGATTCGGGAAAATACTCATGAACAAGTCAGAACGTTCAACATAGTCTGCGATAAGTAAATATTTATTTTATTATAGAAATACTGTTCACTCTACAACTGGATGTACACCATCTAAACTAATGTTTGGTAGAGAATCAAATATTAGACTTAATAAAATTAAACCTAAATCACATAGTTACACAGCAATCGATAGACAAATTAGAAATTATAAAGGAAACATTTCAAATAAAATACTTGTCAAGGATGACGCTGTCTTCATTAGAGATTATTCTAAGCCGAACAAAAAAGGTTGGAAAACATGCATCATAGACGAGATTGTGGGCAACAATATTTACATATGTAAAGAACAATCGACAAATAGGTATTTCAAACGTCATACAAATCAGATAATCAAAGCAGGTACATTTTATAAAAATTCAGAAGCACTAATAAGTGAACCAGAAAAAACAGTAGAATGCAGTCCTACCCAGGTTGATGTAACAGATGCACCCAAATAAATGATTAATGTTGATAAATCTGAATTGGATGAAAACTCATTAGTCGGTTGTGCTTCAAACATTATATCAAGTGTAAACAAAAACAAAAGAAGTGTTCATAAGCCAAAAAAGTTTGATGATTATATTTGTTATTAATTTAGAGGAGGATATTGTAGTGTTGGTAACACTATAATTGTCCACTATCATATAGTGATACTCATTTTCAGTTATAGGAGATCAATTATGTTAAAGATGGAGACTGTAGTTTTAATAATGTAAAATATATAAGGAAAGCAATAAAAGAAATTAAGTTGTTATTTTTTGTTTTTATTTAATTTTAATGTACAGTTGAAATAAAAAGAGATGTCTTGCGCTACGGTAGTCACAGATATTACAAATAATATGCTTGATTCTTTGATCTTAAACTAATATTAATAATATTTAATAGAAAATAAGATTGTACAATATTTTATTTTATAATTTCCAGATATATAGCTAGAAAAATCTTAAAAAAAACAAAATGTGAATTATGTATAGCTGGCTTAAAAAATTTAAATAGCAGTTCATCTCCAGAAGCAGAACTTGTTAATTTAAAGTCAAGAGGATATTTAACACATAATAATAACAATTTATTTCTCATTCTGAGAAGTTTAGAGTTAAGTTTTGTGAAACATGCTGGCTCTATTGATGTGTTTAATGAAACATTGTCAGATTTTCTAAGTACTAATAATCCTTTGACATTTGAATGTAATGTGCACCAAACTGATATTCTCACAGATATATGTAGCACATTTGTTATAATGAGAATGAGACGGTATACATATATTAAAAATCAAATGAATAAAAAACAAAATAAAACTAAAAAAAAATTATCAAAACTCGTAGGTAGTTAACTTAAATTATAATTTACACTGAAAGGGAAGTATACAATATAAGGGTGATTTTTTAAGCATGCTCACACCATTTTTATGCTTAAATTATGCATATATTCAAATTCTGATTTTTGGAATTTTTAAGTGTATTTAATGACGATATTTTCGTGTACTTAGATTTTTTAAAACATTTAAGGATTATCCTGTGGCGATGCCAACTTTGGTTTTTCAAATGACAACATATATATTTTATAGCAAAACCTGAATCTGGTTATTTTTCTAAAAATTTTGACGTATTGTAATCGAAATTTGAATGAAAACTTTCAGAGTTATTCTTCTTCAAATACCAAGGAATAAGGATAATAGATGGACTATTATACGAAATGCTTTCTAAATGGATATGAGCTGGATAGTTGTAATTCGGTATGCAATATAAAATATTCGTTAACAATTACTAGTTACTAAATTCTTATGAATTAATATAGGACATTAACACCTGACAATTATTTTCAAAACAAAGGAAATATAAAATAATATAATTTTTATTTTATCGAGTATGTTAAAAACTTATACAGTATACACCTACCAGCTACCTACAATAAAATACTGAACAATAGTCAATTATAGTCGGTAAGACAAATGCGACATATTTACATGATTCCACAGTTCTAATATGTATTATGTAATAATCAATCAGAAATACATATTATAATAGAAATAAACATAGCTACTACATATCTGGTTAGCTTCTAGATTACGCGAGTGCTATAACTTTAAGATAAGAAATAAAAGATAATTGCTATGAAATATAAATATAAATAAATAGGACCGACCACTATGAAAGATATTACACTGGTTGTACTTTGCCCTCTTCTTCGCCCTAAACATAATGATTTATAAACGACATTTATATTGTATTTAAAACACAGATACCAAATATTGATTACAATAAACAGTGATATAAAATATAAAATGTAATACAAGATGGCTATTTTATAAATAAGTTTTTAAAAACATTTTTGGTGTTTAAACATTTTAATTAGGTTTAGTCATTAATTTTTAAATCATTTTCAAAGTTTGTTAAAATCACAGATATCTGTGGTTAAAATTCAAATTTATGTCTTGCTTATTGTCTTGTTGTCCTCGTCTTCATTGTTATTTAAATAAGTAATATATAAATCTTTAAATTCGTCCATACCAAAATGTAAATTGCACACCACACACTTTAATATTTCCTTTAGGAAATTACAATAGGAACTGAAAATAGTATGACACCTTGTGCACAGTTAAATTTAAAATGAAATCCCTATGTCTCAGTCTTAGAGTCTTATTAGTCTAGTATTTCACTTATCTTTACTGACTTCAAAACCAGTTTCACATATCTCCAAAATATACTCATCCTTATAAACCATGAAATTCAAAATTAAATCCCCATGTCTACTCTGTATTTATATTCTTTATTACTCTTATCTCCATTTTATTGAAAGTATACATATACAGAATGTCCAATATGGCAAAGTACAGTACATTTTTGAGTTCTTAATATTTTTTTGTTTTTTTAGTACCTACCCAAAGAAACTCAATTTATAATTTATATCTATAATAAATAAATAAAAATTATATATAAATATAATTTAAAAATAAAAAACAACAGTTAAAATAATGAATTCAATTTATTAAAATATAAATAAACATAAGGTTTTATAATTTTTATGATACACAATACATCCTGTATACATGGTGAAATGATTTAAAAATGAGAAAAATTCTGAATATAATATTTAGATACAAAATGTATAGACATTTTTAATAATACAATTTAAATAAAAATAATATTTTTTAATATAAACATTTTTACATACACATTTTAATCATTCACAATTTTCTTTCTAATAAATTTGAAAAAAAGTAGGTACATAAGTAAAAATGCATTTACATGCTAAATAAAACACAAATATATTTTCATTTTATTTAAAGAATTTTGGGAAAATACAAATATTACAAATTAATATGATATACTTTGATTATATTTTATTGCCTCCTAGAAATTTTATTACGATACTTTGTTTTCGATGTGCATTAATATCAGTAAGATCACAAGCGTATAAACATTTTTATTTTTAATATCATTTAAACCATGTCATACTAATGTTGAAAAAATGGATATTCTAAAGCCGCGTACACACTAGAGCACGCACAGACCGAGCATGTGTGCTCATGTTGTGTGTTCAACAAATTTGCTTAGTGTGGACGATATGTCGAGCACGCACGAGCGATTTTGACGCACGGCGAACGCGAGCCGATCTAGTCGGCTCGCGTTCGTTGTGCGTCGTGATAATCATCATGTTTACCGCAATACCGCTATTAATACACACTCGTCTAGACGTCTAGTCGCCTGCACGTACACGCGCCAGTAGTCACAGACCGCAGTACGTACACGGACACAAGTATTGTTGTGATACTAGTTATAATTATTTAATCATTATTATTCATTTTAATTTAAATTGTTCAAAATGGAATGGAGTAATGAATCGTGTCTAAATTTCATTCAACATTATGAACTCCACCCAGTGCTATGGAACCCAAAACATAATTATTATTTTTCCAAAACAAAAAAAACGAAGCATGGGAAATTATTGCAAAGAATATAAACAGGGACGTTGAAGATGTTAAAAAAAAGAGCCAAAGTTTGTTGGGTTCTTATCGGCGTGAAAAAGCCAAAGGTAAAAGGTCAATGGGAACTGGTACAGGTATGTATAATATTGATACCTACTATAACCATTTGTATGGCAGTATTATTTATAGAGTATAGTTTTATTATATACTAAATAAACCAAGTGTCCGAGTTTAATAATATAAATAATAATATATGTAAATAAATCGTGATATTATTTGTTCAATTTTATTAATATTTCCAAGAAAACTACAGTAACTCAAAATTATAGCTTTGTGTTACAAGTACAAATTAACTTAAAAATATAATAGTACAAGCAAATAGTAATTTCAA